CTAAAGCTTGCTAAAGCTTGGTTTCTGATTACACCTGAGTCAGACCATGAATGGAAACATGGCATACAGTATTTAAGAGAGAAGGGTGAATCCTAGTAAAAAAAAGTGAGAGAAGTGGAAGAGAAGAAATGCTTCAAGAAAGAGCCTTCAGAACGTTGCCTTACTGGGACAATATTTCCTCTAGCTGGTCAAGTCAGTGCTATGCCACATGTGGTTATTCTCATACAATTCCTCCCAGACATTTTTAGGCAGCTGATGCAAGTTTTAAAGGTCAGCAGAGAGGATTTATTCTTCACAGTTCAAGAGCAAATGACTCAGACTTTTCTGGCAAAACAGAACAGCTTTTCTTTCCCAAACAACCTGTAGTTTCCAAGCTTCATCTCTTTCTTGCTATGTTGCATGTTGGAAATACTGTACAAGATCTTCCTATTCCAAACAGATTACTTGTTCTTGGGGGGGAAAAACTCTGACCTTAGGCCAGACCTCATCTTGGACAGCCTCTAACACAGAGATAATTCCTTTCCATGCGTTCTAGAAGGTCCTTATGTAACGTGCATGCAAGTATAGGAGAGTAGCTCTGTTCCAATAAAAGAGAGCAGATGGTCCACGTTTGCATCTATACCAATGCTTGGCAGAAAACTAAAAGCATGACACCGTGAGTTGTGGGTGAAAAATTCATAAATCAATAGCAAAGCTTCTTCTAGTAAAGAGAAAGGGAAATGTATTTGGGTGCTGTGGAATATCAGGGAGACAAGCATTTGTTCTTGCTTTTCTCTGGCAAGAAGCAAGCACGCGCTTAAGTAAAACCAGTTCAAGACATTTTGATACATGGCTGAAGGGCAACTGAAAACAAGTGAACAGCAGGTTAGTTAGGTGGAGTAGGCAAGTTGTGTGATATACATAGATTTGGTCTCAGAAGAAAATATTGGGAATTCATAGAATCATTGCATTGAAAGAGACCTTAGAGGTCTTCTAGTCCAGTGGTTTTCAACCTTTTTAATGCCGTGACCCCCAACTGGTCGTAAGTCGAGGACTAAACCGGTCGTAAGTCGAGGACTAAACTGGTCGTAAGTCGAGGACTACCCAACCGGTTGTAAGTCAAGGACTTTCCCTGCCCGGGAGCACCGCGCATGCGTGGTTCCACCCCCTGCGCCGGCCGAGGCGTAGCTGACAACCGGCAGAGACGGAGCAGGCCGACCACCAGCTGGCCCAGCCCAAGGGAGGTAAGGCACCCGCCAGAAAAGGGGGAAAAAAATGGCGGACAGCCTTGCTTGGCGACCCCTGTGAAATGGTCGATCATAGATTGAGAACCGCTGTTCTAGTCCAACCCGTTTTTATGAGCAGAAATCCATATACTATCCTGGACAAATATCCTTTACCACTCTTTTCTTAACAACTTCATTTCTCAGGATCTTTTGTACTGTGGTGACCAAAGCTGGACACACTATTTCAGATATGGTCTAATCCATGGTGCATAGAACAGTATTAAGACCTTCCGTGTTCTTAACCTTATATATCTGTTGATGTGCCCAAAGCTGCGTTGGCTCTTATAATAGCTGTGGCACAATGCTTAATCTGTGGTCTACCAGGACATCCAGATCCTTCTGGCAAATATTTCTGCTGAGTTACCAGTACCTTTGCATTTAGCTTTTCCTACTTAAGTGCAAAACCCTACATTTCTCACAACTGAAAAATATTTTGTTGAATAAATTCTGATGTTCAAGTCTATTAAGATCCTTTTGAACCTTAAGCTAGTCTTTTGAAGTTTAGAAATCTTCCCTAGTTTGCTGTCATCCACAAAATGTATGAGCATGTGTTCTATTAATAGAGAATATTTGTAGCTCAGGGTTGAAATGAGGGGTCCTTGGTGCTCTCTGAGCGTGGTTGTTTTCTTGCAGATGCTACATTACCAAAAGCTAGCTAAAATCAGCAGTGCACTAATGATGTTACCTAGTTTGGGTAATGAAATGACTGAAAGAAAACAACCAAGCTCAGAAAACACTAAGGATCCTTCATTCCTTCTATTTCCACATCTACATGTTTATGAAGATGTTAAAAAGTACTGGGCCAGGACAGAACCCTGAGGTATCCCACTGCGTATCTCCTTCCATGTTGACAAAAATCCATTGGGGACCACATAGTGACGATCAGACATTGTTGCAGTTTATCGAAAAGGAAGCAATGGTCAGTTTTGTTAAATGCCTCTCTGAAGCAGAGCTTTTCAACCTTTTCACCCATTGTACCACTTTTAGGATATGGCAATATCCGAGTACCACCAGTCGCCTAGCAAGGTGTCAATAACTTGATGACCCAAAAAAAAAGGAAAAAAATGATAAAGTACAGGTAGTCCTCGACTTACAACAGTTCGCTTAGTGACTGTTCAAACTTACAATGGCACTGAAAAAAGTGCCCCCCAAGCCACAGCCAAGCAAGACACCTGCCTGCCCACCTGGCGGGGCTCTTCCTCCTGTCCGAGGTTTTCATTGTTGTGAGCATTTCTGTTGAGGATTGGCAGCGGGGGTGGGGTGGGGGAGTGTTTGGTTTTTATTCCCCCCGTCTGCTGGGTGGTTGCAGGAGGTTTTGGTCACTTCACATGACCCTGGGACACTGTGACCGTCATAAATATGAATCAGTTGCCAAGCATCAGAATGTAAATCACAAGACCCTGGAGATGCTGCAACATTCCAGCTGATCGGCGCTTCTTCTGGGCTCAGCAGAAGTGCCAGGATCAATGCTGCTTTCCAGCTGATTGGTGCTTCTTCAGGGCTCAGCAGAAGCACCAGGATCAGCCCCGAGCTCCAGCTGGATCCTGGAGCTGATCCTGGCACTTCGCTGAGCCCTGACAGTCCCAAAGAAACGCCGATCAGCTGGAGACTGGTGCTGATCCTGGCGCTTCCTCTGAGCCCTGACACCCCTGCAACTCCAGCCATCTCTCGCTCAGACTTGTGCGATGCTGCCACCGGTTCAGCTCATTCTCCTCCCCCTCTACCACTTTTCTAGGATGGTCACGTACCACCTGCCAGGTGCCAATGTACCACAGGTGGTACCCATACCACTGGTTGAAAAGCCCTGTTCTAAAGAACCGAAATGAGGGCCAGGGTTTCCTGGGGGAAAAGTGTATCTATTGTTCCAATCCTCCTCAGCAGCACAGTCCAGAGGAGAGTTATATCTATGCAAAAGGATATACAGTACAATACCAGAGGTGTCTACCTGTACTTTATGAAAACTAAGCATGTGCATTAGGACTTCCTCCAGAACATTTTTTGCAATGCAAAATGATTGTGACATATAAGAGAAATCCCACTGCAGTTTGGGAAGGCTTTCCTACAAGTAATTTTAAAATCAGTCTTCATAACATTTTATAACATTAAAACCAGAGCCATGTTAGTTATTTTTTAATAAATTTATTCAGATTATTTATAATGAAAGGATAAACAAAAAGATCCTTGATCTTTATAGCACCATAAAGTTTAAGATATTAATACTCAAAACTGTTGTAATGGTATTTATTTATTTAATCACAGAATTTAATCTAAAACTCCTAATGCAATTAACAGGGTACCCACTTTCATATTACTTCTTATTTTGAAGAGTTACAGTATCCTTAATAATTTTATCAAAGTTTGGGAGGTACAGCTTGTTAGAAACAGATTTATCATTGCTCATTATAATTGGTCAACATTAGCTAAATGAGGGCAGTGATGCCCAGAGAAGGAAGTAGCAGTGGAGACTGACAACATGGAATGCCATCAATAGTCATGGACCAAAAAAAAGCAAAGAAGATTGAGCGATTGACACAGCAGAAACAGTATTTTCATCATCTACAGGAAATGATGCTACTGATGGTCACAAACATCACGCAAGGCAGCAGACAATGTACAGATCCAGATTTTAAAGCTGTGAAGTTGCATGTCATGACCAACACATACCAAACTCAATATAGGAAATGTCTTCACATTCATATTAATGATCAAACTATTACTGACAGACTTTCCATAATCTTCCTTTGGCTTTCATGTAGCTAAGGTCATAGTTATTTTTTATAACCAATTGCTCCTAATTGGTATAAATCTGCATAATTACAAAATAATGAGCATACAGTAGGTAGGAAAGAATGATTTAAAAAACATGTTTCAAAAGCAAGGCAACTGTGTGCATTGATTTTCTTGAAATGTTATGAATAATCTTACTAATAGTTTTCCTGTGTCAGATCTCTTCCAATTCTATAGTGCATAAGCTCTGTTTAAGTATTTGGTCTGAAGAGATCAAGACAAGCAGGGGCAGACCTATTCCAGGTCTTTCTCCATTGTGGTTAGGAAAAACCAAAGGGGAGCAAGCAGCCATTTGAACATTAGGAAGTTAGTATCCTCCTCCACAAGAACAAGGAGTTTCCACAAAGATGAAAAAGTGGGAATTAGAAAGTAGGAATAGTAACATTGGGGACAGTGCATACTCCTATTTGACACTGTTTTATTTGTTAGGCATAACTTCTGAATATGGGTAAAATGGCCTCTCTGATGGATGAGTAGGCACCCACTCTCTATCTTTGTACCATAAGGGATAAGGACAGTCCCAGTTCCATTGTGGGTTCATAATTATGCTTCAAAATGGAATGCAAGCGCTCACCTATTTCCTGCTTTCTTCCCATGCCCCCAAATAAGTAAATAAGTCTTAGGACAGTGGAAGAAAAAGATGGTGGCATGCTTCAGTCTTCAAAAGACTGAAATAAACAGCCCTTCAGTCTTGCACATGAATTCCTATCTTGAGGCTTGCACCCTAGTATCTAAGAAGTCTAACATAAAGAATCTTACTTAATAAAGCAATGTTACTTAATACCAGATATTGATACGATTCACTGAGCTGAAATTATGGATTGTCAGGACACTGGCCCAGCGAGCGCTAACTTTGTGGCAGAAAGCAGCGGGACACACAACCAACTCATTTGTAGAAGTTTCAGGATCCCCAAACCCTACTGGGTTGTTTCTTAAGGTGCTTATATATATATATATTAATTCTCTGCATCTACTCCAGCAGCATCTTCCTGATAACCTGTGACTTTTTAGGTCAGAGTGGCAGGCTCACAATTGCACCTTCCATATGAGCCACTTGATTAACTGAAGGCAGATGTTCTCTGCTTTTTTAACCATGAAATTACTGCCATAGCATATCTAACATGCTCAGATTCAATAGCAAATATGTTCCTCACTTGCAAGTTCAATCTATTCCGGCACTGTTCACTCTGCATCAGGCTGGGTCACACACTAAGTGATGGAATGATTCCTTTTTGTCATAGTTGCTGCAACTTTCTCCTGAATCACAGTAGTTGTCCATCGCTGTAGGTAAGACTAATGACAGTAGAAAGCAAACTGTCAGTCCAATAGGAAACTTTCTCACTGCCTTATCTGCAGACCACGTTCTTAAGTATCATAGAAAAAACAGAGGAGAAAAACAAAAGCTGTTTCTAACCATTGTTGTGATCCATATTTGGCTGGCTTAACCAGGCATTTTCTCATTTCGCAGCAGAGACGCCGCATCAAAGAAGGTTGAGGTCTTCATTCAGTTGCAGCTAGAAATTGCCTTTTGTCCACTAGCAGGTGAAGAAGTCACAGCTATAAATTCCTCCACCCTCTCCATGTTGAGCTGAGAGTCAGATTTCTTAGACCCATTCACCAGAATCTGGCTGGTTGGAGTTGACCCTTGTTGAAATGCTGGAAAGGGGAAGGATGGAAAATCAACAGTTAGACTGGAGTTAAGCCATAGAAGAAACCATGCAGACTCCCTAACTGTACTGCAAGAAAGATATCATGGTGGCCTAAAATGTGCCATTCTCACAGATTTGTGGCAACAGAAAGTACTGTAAATCACTTCATACGGAGAAAAATACTATAGAAATGAACATAAACATTCTTGACATAAAAATAATGATTTTAAAACAATACTTTTCCCTAACAGTATACTGTATTTCCCCAACTGCAATTCCACCCTATTATACTCTATCTAGAATTACAAAATACCCCATATTAAAAAAATTGTATTGCTGAATTGGTTCCGCATAACTCCAGAAAAAATATTATTTCATGTGGCAGACAGCTAGGCAAAGGCATACAAATTACTAATTTGCCCCTTTAAATTCTTCCCTCCTGATTCTGGCGAGGTTCATATAGAACAGGGGTGTCAAACTCGCAATGTCACGTGACCTGTCGTGACGTATCGTGACTTTTTTTCCATTTTTGGCAATGAGGTGGACGCGGTTTCAGCATGACGCATCCGGCCCGCGGACCGGCAGTTTGACACCCCTGATACAGAAAGAAGGGAAGACCTTGCAGAATCTTTTAATCAGAAAGAGGCGAGGGGATAAGATTGTTCTGAACTCTTTATCTTTCTCCTTTTTATAAGAAAGCACATCTATTAAATGCAATGGAAAAACAAAATGGCAGAAGTGGATCATATCCAGTTCAGTCTTCCTGATCAATCAGACTATCGAATTATATCTGAGTAGAAATAGACTATGAGGAAACAAAGTAGCCATCCTGTGTTGGAGAATATTTGCTGTTCCAGGTAAAATAATCCAAGCACAAGGAGATGTAATTGCCAAGTCAACCTTTGTTCTTAAATATTTAAACAAAAGTGAACTTAAACATTGCTACAAGCACAAAATGGGTACAGCTGACTTAATAATGGAAAGCTCTCTGTAAGAAGTGTGTAGCCTCACTGAACATTATCTTCCCTACTGGGAAGGAGTGGATACAAACAATGTTGTGTGGTTTATTTACTTCCTTTCTAGTCCCGGACTCCTACTGTTTTCCATTTTACTTTATCCTGAACCTCTGACCTCCCAGCTTAAAAAAGAATGTAGTGTTTTAGCCATGTTTGTTCGCTTGTTTTTAGTTGGGCTGAGAATAGAAGAGGGCACAGCTCAATTACTCAGAACCTTCCTGCATGCAAACCACTCTAAATTCAACTCCTGTCATCTTCAGGGAGGCCTGGAGAAAGTGGGAGGCTGTTGTCAACAATGTTGGGCTAGATCAGGGGTCTTCAAACTTGGCCCTTTTATGACTTGTGGACTTCAACTCCCAGAATTCCTCAGCCAGCAATGCTGGCTGTGGAATTCTGGGAGTTGAAGTCCACAAGTCATAAAAGGGCCAAGTTTGAAGACCCCTGGGCTAGATGCGTTAATGATCTGTCTCTAAACAAACTCATCTGCAAGCCTTCTTCTGTTGGGTGTCAGGTTTTCTTCTCTTGTCTATGGGAGAAGCTTTCTTTCCACTTTCTTTTCTTTCAACCCCAGATTCTACTTCTGTAATTCAGTTGCCCAATGTCCAAAGAAATAAATAATTACCTCAAGGACGCATAATTCTTTTGGGGCTGAGCTGGGTTTTGGTTGGCTTAACATTGTCCAAAAAATTAATGGCACTAAGATAAAAACTTTAGAAAAATCACTGAATTGAAATGTAATTATACAATAGACCCATGACATACAATTATTATGATCTTCATGATTATAATAAACCTGCCCAGCACCTTAACAGTTAGAAATGAATGTAACTTTCAGAGGAGTTCTGGGGGGCATTGCAAAATTTTCAATGGCCGCATCATGTTGTGCATCTCTGATAAAAATTAGACATTCATACAATTAATTCGAGAAAATATAGGAGTGCCCCATATATCAACACACTGCAGCTATCAAGATTGGCTTTCATTCAATACATCTTACTTTGCCTGCCTCACTTTACTTATCTCAGGTAGAAATCCTACCCATCCTCTAGGGTTGAAGGAATAATAATCCCATTCTTTGCATGGAATTTTAAATGTAAATACGTAGCCAGAAAGATGAAGTTCACATTATTTAGTTTATTTTTGATTTAACATGCTGTGAGAATTCAATCACTGATTGTTTTTATCTATGATTTATAGTTTAATATCATCTATTAATTCAGCCAACTGTGGCTTATTCAATAAACCATGATAAAGGACATCATGATGGCCCTTGAGCGTCTTGTCCTGAGCCACAATATGAGCTATTCCAGACCAGCGTTTCTCAACCATGGCCACTTCCAGATGTGTGGACTTCAACACCCAGAGTTCCCCAGCCAGCATGGCCTCTGCAGAGAATCTGCAGAGAATCCTTCTGGCAGGCAGAAATCTTATCTTAATTTTGCCACTGGAGACAGATGTTCAACTGGAGGTACCGGGGAATGAATGGCGACCCGCTTCCATGCAAAGTCCGCATTTTCCCTAGACTAGAGATCGTACCTCCGGGTCGGTTAATTCAGGCAGACCCGACGGGCGCGACCTTCTGTAACGTCCCCTGGCCCATCCCCTGCCCTCCCCCGGCCTCTCACCCGCCCTGCAGCTGTGCCTGGCGCGCACGATCTGCACCGCTTGCTGGTTCTGGAAGCGCACCAGCGCCAGAGTGATGTCGGCGTTCCAGCTGGGGTCTTCCTGGGGGCAGCGAAAGTCGATCTCGGCGCCGTCGTCCGTCACCACCGTGAAGTAGATGTGCCGCTGCTTCCACTCCACGCACTCGACGGCTTTGACGTGCGCGAAGGCGAACTCCTTGCAGCGCGTGGAGCCCCGGCTGCCGGCCTCGAAGAGCCGCAGCCCCTTCTCGCTGAGCAGGCAGCGCTTTTTCTTCCAGAGCTGCAGCAGCCCTCCGCTGCGCTTCTCCAGCACCCCCTCCCGCAGGACCTTCTCCGACGCCGCCATGGGGGCTGCGAGAGACGCTCTGGCCGCCAAGCGAAGCCGCGTTTTCCTCTACCTCTGGCTTCCCCGGGAGAACGCGAAAGCCCGCCCACTGCCGCGTGAGCCCCGGCCCGGCTCCCCGCGCCTCTCTGCTAGCGGGATCTGTCGCTACATGCCCGCTGCCGCTTGCGCCTCGCTCTTTCTGCTTCCCACTCGCATTCCTTTCCTGCTCCGCCAGAGCCTCGCCCCAGTCTTGCCTGCCAGACGGCGCTCACGCCCAAACGCGGGACTGCTCCGCTGGAAGCCTCGAGGGGGTCGGGCCCGGCGTGGAAGCCTACCTGCTGCGGAGGCTGGAAGACCCGTTCGCGCGCCGACGGGCGTACGCGGCGGCTCGGCCGAGCAGCGAGGAGGGGCGCGGAAGTCGCCCGGCTGGAGGGATGCTGCTTTCATTTCTCAAAAAAAGCAGCAAACGCACACGGGTTTGAAAGGCACCGTTGGCACGTGGCCAGAGTTTAACACGGAAGTGTTGGCCGTGTACTTAGGTAGGGGCATGCCCTGTAGTCCTGATCCTAGAGCAGGGGTAGGCAACCTTGGCTCTTTTATGACTCATGGACTTCAACTCCCAGAATTCCTGAGCCAGCATAGCTGGCTCAGGAATTCTGGGAGTTGAAGTCCATGAGTCATAAAAGAGCCAAGGTTGCCTACCCCTGTCCTAGAGGTCCCTCTCTTGGACCACGGTGGTCCAGACTACGTCTCACATGCGGATGTGAGAAGGGAAGATTCGTAGTAGAAAAGTGGTGATGTTGGTGGTGCTTAGCACATGTTTAGAAGAGACAGGTTGAATTATGCAGAGAGGATTTGTGGAGGAGGGACACATGGATAAAAATATGTTTCACCTGATTGTTTAACACAGTGACGGCAAATCTTTTAGAGACCGAGTGCCCAAACTGCAACCCAAAACCCACTTATTCATCGTAGAGTGCCGGGTGGGTGTGGCCCATTGGCTGGGCGTGGCCCATTGGCTGGGTGTGGCTGCAGTGGTAAAGGCAGACTGGGTGGGACTAAAAAGTTCAATCAATCAATTCCAACTTTGCGAGATCTTTTTTTTTCCCCGCAAGTTGAAATTGATTGATTGAACCACTTTTTTTTTTTGCACATGGCGGCGGAGGCCTCAAGCGAAAAGGTTTTATAAAACCCAGCTGAAGGCCTAGGACTGGGGCGATGGCGCGCGTGCCCACAAAGAGGGCTCTGCGTGCCGCCTCTGGCACCTGTGCCATAGGTTCGCCACCACTGGTTTAACACATGCACAGTAGGGTGAGAACAGTTACTTAGGAGCAGAATGGAAGTTTCCCTATCCAAAGGATAAGTAATGTGAAAATCGACTCCAGCTGCATATCCTAGAAATTAAGTTGTACACCCCTGTGTACTCCTAGTCCACCTCACACCGCACAACTTTGCTTTCCTGTGCAACTCCTCAGATGTTCTGTTAATAGTTTGCAGTGGCAGATACCAAGAGTAAATAAATGGTAGAAGACAAGGACAGAGGTTCACAATCCTCTCTTTGTGAGGCACAACACCTGGCTTCTCTTTCCCCTTTTCAGAGGAGTTGCATCTTTCCCAACTATTCATTTTCTGCTTCAAATGATAGTCTCAAATCATTCTTTTAATAGGGGAATGAATGGTAGTCATATGTACTCCCCCCAAGCCACATACACCCAGATGCAATTATGAGCATAAACTCAGCTGACTATTTAATCATGCCTTTAATTGTGCAGGTGTTTCATAATACTGAACTGAAACAACGCTGAGAATCTTCTGATAGGTTATTAGATAATAAATGAAATAAATTGTTGTCTCCAAGTTTATGTAGATTAGAAACATGATATGCAAAAATATTTCAAAGGAACTTGGAACATGAATGCTCTTAACAGAGGAATAGAAACTGGAACATAAATGTGAAAACATGAGTCACGTTTATTATCTCAGTGTTGTATTTGCAATAAGTATCAAACCATTATTGAATCTATCCAGATATTTTTAGCACAACTGAAGCCTGCAATTGTTTGTATGTTTACTTGAAAGAAAATTGCATAGATTCCTATGGACATCTATTTAACCATATTCTTTAGGATTTTGCACATTTCAAAAATGATTAATGAGAAATTCTGAGCATTTCCCTGTTAATCATTAGAACAGCCCAATTTTTTAGGCCATGTCTCTGTGTGTGGTCCACTGTGTGTCTTCTGAATCATTTATGAAGTGTGTGTAGTCCTAATATCACACTTTTAGAAGTAGCATTGCGTAAATTGTTAATTCTGTTACTGCTGTTATTGCCTTAGGTTTTAAGTATTGCTGTTTAATCTCCTACACTGAATGATGTTTTAATAAACATGTACTTCACAGTAGCAGCATACTGCAATTATTCTAGTGGTGAAGCTATTAAACTACTGCTTTGAATCACCAGTCCCAAATCTGTAGGAGAAGAGCCATGTTAAGTCTATGGTACCAAAAAATCTATTTGGTAATCCACTTTTCTAACACATTTTATTAAAAGGTACATATCTCTGTAAATTGCAACTCACTTCATCAGAGATGCGGCTCAGGAAAGATCATGTCTTTTAGTAAAATGTATCCATCTAAAACTGGGCTGTAATCCTGAAATCGAAGCTTACAGGAACAATATTCTAGATTCATACAAATCATTTTTTTCTATCTTCCTTGAAAATAGGTTCAAGTATGAGAAATGTATCTGACAAATACAAAGACAGAATTTGAGAGATTATTGTGGTGAGTAGGTATTGATATCCTGATACTTTATATACTAAGTAGGGATGTAAGAAGTTCTTGAAGACACAGAAACTTTAGCGGACGAATATAGGATGAAAGGAGGAAATGAATATTACTCTAACTACCCTAATTTTACCATGCAGTCCTAAATTGACTCAAAGTGGAATATATAGAAATCACATGGTATCTCTGCATGAAGAGAGAGAACATTTTTGTGAAAGGAAGCTAAAAGGAATATGTTATAAAAGAGGGTCATGGAGGGAAGGAGGGACCTGTCTGAAATAAAGATTGACAAACAACAAAAATCTCAGTTCTCCAACATGATTGGATGGATCATTCACCAATGGGTTATCTTAACCTTCCTGCTCCACGTGACTAAGTCTGAGTTTATAAATATCAGTACCACGCCATGTGCTCCCCAGTTTTTCGACTTAGTCTTCATGCTCCAAGACCAACTTTAAACTTTTATCAACTTTCTACTACAAATTATCAATTTCAACAAAGAAT